TTTAACATTGAGGTTAATATAAACAAAAGAGAAAAAAATCGAAGGTTAGGACGAGTGACATCATATCTTCAATAATACCATATATGTTCAGGAGGGAAGTCTCTCAAGTGATGGCATTGATGAGTTAATATGACTCAGACTCGAATGTTATATTTCTAAAACCCTTATCTATGGCACAAATGACAGCTTCTCGTAAGGCTAAAGCCTCAACCATGAGAGGAGAACATATATACGTGTGTAGTGGTTTGGCTGTGGTTTATAGTTCTCATTCTTTGAGACATTATAGTCCATCCGAACCCCGTTGAATTTATGTTCGAACTCCACGCTGCATCCGACTGACAGATCATCATGTTGGCTGTCGTGTTGCATGTGCTGGATTTTTATCGGGTTGGGGCAAGTGGGACTTGTTGAGCATCGAGCCACTCTTTTGCCAAAGTAATGGCTGCAGTAAGAGTTTTTTCCGTTGTGAAAGTTGTGTCGTTGAAAACAAGTTTGTTTTCTTTGATCCATAAAGTCCACATGATTCAAGGCGTTACCTGTCCTTTAGCTATTCCCACCAGAGGTAAACATATCTTGTTTTTTAGTATACCCCATGCTTGTTCATACTCTAACCATGAACCCGTTTATAAAGTGACTACGAAAGGAGATGATCTCCACACTTTTCAAGAAAAAGACATTGAAATAAGAGGTGGAGAATAGTTTCGACTTCACCACATCGCTTACACAGCAGATTTATCGGAATGTGCCTCGCGAGTAGCCTTACCTTCCTTGCAAATCTATTAAGCACTTTAATTTGCAAAATTGTGTATAGATGCATGCAACACATGTTAAAAAGTAAAAGTTAATTTTGGATGCCGGAAATATTATGAGTCTAATATTTGAAATTTCTAAGGTTTATTAGAAAAGAAAATGTTAAAAGTACGGGGAATTTCAAAGAGTACTTAAGCTAATTTTATATACTACAAGTATCATTACATATAAAGCCACCTCATATATTGCAATTTCAGATTTTGTTTATTGACTTAAAAAGGCCATTGACTCACTACTCTTTCTAAGGCTAATATCCTTTTTCTAATGCGACTTTGCGTCTTATCATATAATTATACAATTCTATGGAACTACAGGATGAAGCTAAAACACAGGTCCTTGTATCTAATGTAGAAAATAAAAACAAAAATGATTGTTTATATATTGCATTAATTTATCTTGTTT